AAATTAAAACATGTGTCTGCAGTCGTCTTCCCGATAATTTCGGTGGATCCTCTTCACTTCCCTAAAGAGTCACCCAATTGAACAAAAGAAAACACATCCTTGTTGGTTTGTTCTTGCTAGCATGTATCCTATTATTTTTGAATTCATGGAAGCAAAGTCCCTTCTCGTGGCCAATGGCAGCAAGCAGCTCCCAATGTCCGGCACGCGCACAAGCGCTGGCAGCGGTGTTGTAGCAGTATGCATTGGGGCTATGATGCATGAATGGCATTAAGTCCAGCAAGTCCAACGCCTCCTTGCACCAAGAGCTCTTTTCAAAACCCGTCTGTAGTCTGTAGTGTTGCTTCTATTTGTTCAAAAATAAACATAACGAGATTAGCAACAGTGGGGTTGAAGGGCAAATGATGAGCTGAGGATTGAACTCCGAACAGGAACATTTACTTGCATTCCAGCCTTCCATCTGGACTCTCTGGAGCATGCACTCATGGTCGCGGCAAAGCAAACCACATCCGGGGCTGCCAGGTCAAGAGCAAATGCACACGTAGATGTTTACAGAAACTGCAATCTGGTGCAAATACAGAAAGCTTGCAACCTTGGGAAACACTATTTCTGAATAAGTGCTCCAGCTCTTCACCAGGCCTGCATCTGCTTCGATCCTCAACAACATCAGTTTCAAAGAAGCAGCTTCCGGATCTCACCCAATGGCAACAATTTGAAAAGACAGAAACAAGTCTGCAAATAATACACGACTGAAAGATTACAGCAAGCGTCCGGAGGAGCAGCTTTAGTGCCTCCTGCCATTGCTTGCAGGAGTCTAAGGCACCCAAAGCTGTTGCCCAGCAAATGTTGTCCTGAAAAAACAAGTCATTTGCAGTTACTCAGCAAATCAATCAAAGGGTCAACAGCTTAAACGGAGACCAGCAATAATGCAGGCAACCAAGCAAGCTAGCAATCAAACCCTTTGCAGTGTGTGTATATATATATAGATGCAATATATAGCCAAAGGATGCCGAAGGATTGTTGCACTTCTTCTGTCTTGTGTCACTAGCTGCTGGTCTAGTCTTGGCTGTTGGGGGGCAGGTCGGCTGAGACCTGACGGTTTTAAAACTTCTACGAACACTTCTGTCACTTTGCATCTGCATGGTTGAACTGCATTTGTTCTCTAATTGCAGGGTGGCTCGCGATTTTTCATAATATGAAAGGAACTCCTGTCAAACACAATATGTACTGGGCCTTCCAAACAATGCATTGGCAACGGAAAGCCCAGAAAGGTTCGTGGCAATGGCGAAGCGAGGAACCCAACGAAACGCGGTAGTACAGTCCGGAATAGCATCTTTCTCTGCTCTCTCGAGAAGCTTCAAGGCTTCTTCCCAATGTCCAGCTGCGCCACAAGTAGATATGGCTGCAGTGAAACTTTGTGCATCTGGCTGCAAGTTCCATTGTTGCATCCTGCAAAGTTGGGACAAAGCCAGAAAGACAGCAAGATTTACAGTGCATTGGCAAATCAAGCATCACTGGTGCACCTGCTAACGACTGACGACACTGATCGCATCACACTTGAAACGCTCACAAAATGTGTGTAATGCGACTCATGCTCCATCCTAAAGCATCCTAAAGCTACTCAAGTAAGTTGGCTCTGGCAGCATTTCACTCGAACAAGGGTCATCGTGCTTAAAGTAGAGACTGTTCCAGAACAACCTGATGCATTCACCACTATGCAACATGACATGACAGTCGATATAGGTCACCAAGGAACTTTTCCAACAGATCCAGCGCTTCTTCCCATCGTCCAGCGGTTTTGGTCGCACACAGGGCCGCATTGCAACAAACCAGGTTTGGCATCTGGCCATTCCCTACCATGTCCTCAGCTGTAAGGGGCTTGCAAAGACTGCAGAAGTTGCTTCGTGCATCCTCCAAGAATTCGAAATCATATGGTGTCTGCAACAGAGTCTGTGAGCGATCATGCAGGTTGTGAGGTATGCAACATTATGCAACACAGGTTCATCCAACAATCCCCGGGCTTCTTCCCAACGCCCAGCACGCGCACAGGCATCAATGGCGGCACCATAGCCTCGGCGAACTATATTCACGACGCCTTTGTCAAGCGCTAAACCACAAATGCATGCGTGAGCCACAAAACAATGACGACGGGCAACTGATCTCATTTGGTAATAAAATCATCCGCATCTGCTGGAGCAAGCCCTCAGGAAGCACTGGGCTGATGACACTTGGCCAAACCAACTCTGACTTACATAATTAAAAAAAAAACAACACTGCGACATGCAGCTGCAGAAGGCCCCTGAAAAGAAGGAATCCACAGGGTCAAAGTTCTATTCGGTAAGTACAAGGTGATCTTCCGTAACTGACGGTTTTCTTTGGAAACATGTCTTTGGTAATTCGTATATTCGGTGACTAAATGGTGATCTTCGGTGACTAGACGCTGCAACCCCCAGACCCAGACGCACACGCTAGCGTGTTCCATTCATGTAATCTGGATGCAATGTGAAGTCTCCGAAGAATACTGTCTGAAGATCACGAAGTACTTTCTGAAGAGCAGTTGCGGAAGAATACCAACTAGTGACGGAAAATAACATCAGAAGAATGAGGAGTTTCGGAATAGATGCTTGATCGAATCCACAAACTGACAAACATATCGAATGCACGAAAAAGTGATTAGAGAAAGAACATACTAGGCTTGAAGTGCAACACAATCACACAACACCAGGTGGACGAAATCAAAGTGGCAGAAGAACGGTGTCCCTGACTAAGATTGCTGGGTAATAATATGTTGGCCAATCGCCAATCAAGAGCCACTGGCTGAAGCAATATTTGCCAACATGAAAATGAACATGTCCACAATTGGTCGATAAGTTCAAGCCCTCCGTGGCTGCATGAAACGGCTTTACTGTAAGAACATGGGATGTTCAAGGCCCCATCGGATGGCACAATGATACGTTAGTTCATTAGGGTTGGTCAATGATGAATGGGATAACATGAAGATAATGTACAGTGATCGCAAATGATCGCAAGCTATACTACTCCTGGGAATATTATCCGCAAAAAACTCAAAAACACCTGGCCGAGGGAGGTCTCCAGAATAAGCTAGAGACCATTAGAGACCTATCAGAGTCCACAGACGTCTTAGCCAAGCGTCCAAGGCAACTTGCCACTGGGATTGCCTGCTGCAGGCAGTTATTGCCGCATTGAAGCTAATGACATCGGGCTGTATGCCCAGGAAGGCCATCTTCTGAAATAGCATGAAGGCACCTCCAGTCCGATCATTGATAGTTTCCAATATTCTTACTTCAGGACGAGATTGCTCGTGTATAAACAGATATAAACAGAATGATGTGCCGGCATATTCCACCATCGACACCTTCCCAGTAGCCACTTTGTTCACAGGCTCGAATGGCTGCATTGAAGTGGATCACATTTGGCGTAGGGCCAAATTGGATCATCGACTCCAGGATAGCCAGGGCCTGTTGACCTGAGAAAGGAAAGAGGCCGCGCAAAGAGTGTTCCAGCCTCCATCCTGAAAAGCAACACTTGCTGCACTTACATTGAGGAAGGACTGGTCAGATCATTGCTTGGACTTGGTTCCGAGCAAAGCCGTTTGCGCCCAAGGGTCTTGATAGCAAAGGTGTAGTCCTGCAAGTTTATGCAGTATCTAAAGATCCATATCTCTAAAGGCGGTGTCTGAAGCAAATTGATGTCCCTCATTTCCTCTGGTTTGCTCTGATTGCTCTGTATCTCTCAAGGACAGCTGAAGAACAAAGCTGATGCATGTGATATCTGCCAATTCTTAAGGTATTCTTGGCACCTTGTCGGCTGGTGGCTAGTAGCTGCCATGTATGTCCTGTGGCGTCTCTAGCATGCTCTCTGCATGCATGGATGCAATGGCCGCTGCTACATCTTCAGGTGCTGCTTTGAGATCCTTCCAAACATTTCCCAAGATCCCCTCACCAAAGCCGGGCAAACAAACAAAAAATCAACTTGTTCGATCTTTGTCAAGCTACACTCAAGCCGCCTGTGCAGCGGACAAGTATTGCCGCCGTCTTTTGGCGCGTGTTGCCATATTGCCAGGCAAGGTTTCTGTCTCACACCTCTAAGTCACTTATGGCTTCAGTGTGAGTTGCTTTGTTGGGAGGTACCAGTAGTTGGTGAGCTACTTTGGTGCCAGCTTTGGGCACTCGAGCCCTTTGTTGCTGCAGTGCAAGTTCAAGTTCCAAAAAATCATAAAAAAATCTATATATATAGATTCCCAAAAAGGCCCACAAATCAAGGCCACGGCAACAAAATGCGTTGGGCGGGGTCTGTTGCCAGCTGTCCCAGAGAATAACCTGGCCAGTCTGTATCAGTCTTGCCGGACCGCATTAACTACATGCAGAGTCCTCTCTTTAGGCATGTTTCATTTCATCATGCAGCAAGCATGCATTATGAAAATCTCAAGCCGCTTGGTTTTTACCTACTTAGTTCTCTGTTTTGTGCGCATTTCACCCTGTCCAATTGGCATGTAATTTGCTCGCAAACATTTGTCTGCTACTACATCCCCGCTGGGCATGCGGGCCTTGAAGAGCAAGAGATAGCGAAAACCATTGCGACCTGCCGCCAGCTCTCTTGGCATACATGTCCAAGAAATGAGGCAGGGACTGAGATCTCTGGCGGTATGAAAATGCAAACAATTGCCACTTGCCAACAAAAGAGTTTGCAAAACTATGATGTAAAATTGTTCTCTCAAATGAGGTCAGTGTCATGCCGAGTCTTCAATTGTGAAAACACCGCATCTCTGCCTTGATCTCATGGCGCCGTCTCCACATTGCTATAGAGACAGATTTCCAATCAGACAAGAGAAATCTCGACGTTGCAACGTGGCTGCAATGCAAGGACTGTCATATTTACTTAAACATCGAGAAGCACACGATTATCCACACGATTATCCACAATCCAAATGCACTCGCTTTTGGTTCAGAAAATATGTAATGCTCTTTCCATCCAACACCCACCTCTCGTGGCACTAGCTGGCGAATCAAAGCATCTTCCAAGGTCTCACTTAGCGGTACCTTACTGACTTGACTTTGAGAGGATGCCCTAACGTCGTGAGCAAAACAGGAACAGCCAATCTCGGATCTAGCAGACCCAGGCCATATAATTAGATAGTTATAATGCTATACAAACAGATGATGAAAGTGGTTGACACGTTGACATGGTGAATTTCATCCATGATGGGTAAAGATTGTTCCAGCCTCTGGAAGCTTCCAGCTGCGAGAGAAGAAGCGCCGCGAAGTTCGCCAAACTGTCGAAAGCATCGCATTGGGCTCCACGGATATTTAGTGTAAATTTAGTGATTTTAGCTCTTGTCTCTCCGATCAGTGTTGGGATTGACCAAAGCCCTGGCTGGAAACTTGCTGTCTTGACTTTCCGGATGCTCCCATTTCATCTCTTTCCTCCTCGCCAGCAACTAAATCAGCAGGTCACATACCACCAAAAACTACCAAGTTCGTGTGTAGTACACCCCGTACACAACCCTTGTTCATACAATCCAAATCTGCTCCAAACAGGTTCAGAATGCACAAAACTGAGGCAGTGGTCTTGCAGAGATATTCTGGACATTGACTCAACATGACTCAACAGGCAACTCAGAAATTCTATTTTGCGATGCCATGGATCGCAAAAAGTGCCCCTTCATTGCCATCACGATCGACTTTTCATCACTTTTCCGTACAAATCTGGAAGTTTGAGAAAGTCTTGAAGGTCCACTGCCGTCTTTGTGCTTTGGACCGGATGCTTTGGACCGGCAAGCAGGCTGCTCTTGCCCAGCTTACAAATCTGTGAGTCCAAGCAATGCTATGCGCACTTTTGCAAGAGCGCTTACACTCTCCAGAGCGCTCACTTTTACAAGTGCTCCACCCTGGGCGCCTCACAAAATGAAAAACGTCCAGGGTTGCTGTAACACAAGCTTTGGACTGCAAGTGACGGCCTCCCCCACGACTGGTGCAGTGGGCCTAACCTGCCAGCATGCAAAGCAAGCCATCACTGTGAGGGGTCTATTGAATGAGAGGTCTATTAAAGCCTCATTGGGAGCCTTCGCAGGTGGAGTCATACCTGCAGCTATGCCATCACCCCCACTGATACCTGTCAAGCAAGGGCATGCGAAACCGATGTAAAGTGTCATGTGATGAGAAGTAAATAGGATCCGAGTTTGTACGACTCGCATGTCTATTTGCAAAAAAAGTTTACTTAACGAATTTCCACTCCTAGGCACAGCTTATAACACCTCACAAATGTCCTTCCAAATTGAGGACTGTTTGGAAACATGAATGAATGCACTTTTCTCAACTTGTATCTAATTATATATATACAGAGTATCTGCAAATAAGTGTATGTCCGGAACTTGATGGAGTCACTGCCACACTCTGCCGCCCTGTCAGTGCATTGCCCGCCAACATCCTGCCACAACTAGCCTGGAAGCTGAACTTGCGTCGCGCACCTGAGCTTCGCCCGGTCCCCAGCGCTTTTGTAGGCTATAATGGAAACAGCCTGCCCATTCGCTGCTACAATCCACATGCGTCAGATGTCAAAAATACCTGAGTGTCAGTCAACTCTGATTTTTCATTTTGGTTGTCTTGACAAGCACTGATGACTCACAAACTGAAGAATGTACATGACCTTTTCGCTCAATTGGAAACCTCTCCCAAGCTTGATAGCGGGACACATTGCTAGGCTGACCAAAAGCACTGAAGGCAATCCCAACTGCTTCGCAGCGCAGGCATTGCTGAACGTTGCTGAGAACTTGTGCCCAGTGCCCAGAATTTCTCATCGTAGTTTCAAACCGCTGAACGGTTCTGCTTCTTTCTGTCGCACTCTCTGTACAAAGGCCGAGGCGGCCGAAGATAAACCCCAACACAAACAATCAAAACATGGTCTTTGAAGTGTGGTGTCACAAGAATTGTGGTTGGATGTTGTTAGTAGTATGCACAGTTAGATGTTTTCTTTTGAACGCGTTTCATGCGAATGTTTTGCTGAACTTTCTGCCTGCAGAGCTTGCTCTTTCAGCTCTGAGTGAAATCCCTTGATCGTCTCAGCGATAGTTGTAATAGCTTTGGGAGTCCTTGCACCGTCTTCCACATGCCAGCAAGTCTTGCACATGCCATGCTAAAATTCCAATGGCTGCAACATATCAAAAACATTGTCAAATTGACGAACTACATTTGCAAGCCCTGCTGCTTTGCATGTTTTGTGTAGAAATCGAACATCTTCGCCCTGCCTGTATCGTGGAAGCTACGCCGACAAACGAGACAATGATTAGAATCAGCAAAGCTACCTCGGGTCAAAACACGTCCACAAATTTCACGTTGGCCAAGTTTTTTGCCTGTGCGAATCTTAGGTTGTGGCCGTAAGGATCGTGGTGACAATTGCAGTCCATAGCGACACACAAGCAATCTGCGCCTCCTGAGTGGGGGTCAAAAGAATGAACTAGTCAATGGACTGCAAATCTGCTACTGATACCTACCGAGGGGAATAAGCTACTAGTAACAAGTGCATCGCTTCTAGTAACAAGTGCCTTACT